CTGTGTCTAGGGGTTCTGAGCCTGGAGGTGCTGTGCCTGGGGGTGCTTCGTCTCGCTGGGAGCCACTCTCCCCACAGGAGCTGCGTGAGTGGTTTGCCAGGCGCTGGAGGCGTGCTGCTGGTGCGGGTGGTTCTTCGACTGCAGAGGGTACTGCTGCCGCGCGTCCTGCCGGTGCTCGTACTGTGGGTGCTGGAGCTGCTGGGTCTGAGAGTTCTCCTGGAGCTGGTCCTGCTGAGGGTGTTGGCGCTGAGCCTGCCGTTGGCGGTCCGACTGACAGTGCTCCTGGTGCTGCGGCTGGGGGTTCTGGAGCTTCTGGTGGTGCTGCTGGAGGTGCTGCTGGAGTGGGTGCTCCTGCCGGGGCTACTGGTGCTGTACCTGCTGTTTCTAGCGTCGCCGTGCGGCCCCGACCGTACTTCGTTCCGCTCCTGCAGCAGGTTCTTGGTCTTACACCTCCTCCTCCTCCCATAGAGGGTCCGCAGCCTGTCCGGTCACAGCCACAGCTACAGCCTGCCTCCCCTTTGCCTGCTCCTTCTCCCTACGCTGGTCCGACTGGAGGTCTTACTGAGCGTCGTGAGCCTGCGTCTCGTCCTGTGTCGCCTGTTCGTACTGAGCGCGCTAGTGGTCGCGGGTCGCGTCAGCGTCCTCCTCCTGTCCCTGGCACGCACCGGATGTCACTGCGTCCGTCCACTGCTCCTCTGCGTGCCCCTTTGCCTTCTCCTCCTGCTTCCTCTCTTCCTGCTCTTGCCGACCCGGAGTCGGACTCTCTTCGTGCTGCCAGTCCTACTGTCACGCGTCTCCTGGCTACTGCTGTCACTGACCCCTCCTTCGAGTCGTCTGCTGCGTCTGCCCTTGTCACTGAGCTTGTCGACTTTGCTGCGCGCTGTCGTCTAGACTACGCTGCTCGTCTTGTCACTGAGTCTGAGTCCGCCTGTCCTCCGTCCGTCGGGGGTGAGTGTGCCCTTGGCACGAACGTCCTTGAGGACAGGCAGGAGGAGTTCCAGTGTCTGGCCGCCGCTTCACCTCGTCTCGCGTCTGTACTGCTAGCCCCTGAGGGAGACCCGGATGCACCAGACATCCCGACTCCGCGCTCTTACGCGGAGGCGATAGAGGGTCCCTACTCCTCTCAGTGGCAGGCAGCTATGGATGCAGAGATGGCTTCCTGGAAGTCCACAGGCACCTACGTTGACGCTGTTCCCCCTCCTGGGGCGAACATCGTCAGTGGCATGTGGATTTTCAGGGTGAAGCGGCCGCCGGGTTCTCCGCCTGTCTTCAAGGCGCGTTACGTGGCTCGTGGCTTCAGTCAGCGGCAGGGGGTTGACTACTTTCAGACCTTCTCCCCCACCCCGAAGATGACCACTCTTCGGATTCTGCTGCACGTTGCTGCTCACCGTGACTACGAGCTGCACTCTCTCGACTTCAGCACAGCTTTCTTGCACGGCAGCCTGCACAAGGAGATCTGGCTGCGTCGCCCACCTGGCTTCACTGGGTCTTTCCCTCCTGGTACCCAGTGGAGTCTCCGGCGTCCAGTCTACGGTCTCCGCCAGGCGCCACGTGAGTGGCACGACACACTAAGGACTACGCTCGCGGCACTTGGGTTTGCTCCTTCCACTGCCGACCCGTCGCTGTTTCTGCGCACCGACACCTCTCTGCCGCCGTTCTACATCCTCGTGTACGTCGACGACTTGGTCTTTGCCACAGCTGACACTGCTGGACTCGCCTACGTGAAGTCCGAGCTGCAGAAGAGACACACGTGCACTGACCTGGGTGAACTGCGCAGCTACCTTGGCTTGCAGATCACCCGGGACAGAGCACGCCGCACCATTACCCTGACTCAGTCACACATGGTGCAGCAGGTCCTTCAGCGCTTCGGCTTCACGTACTCCTCGCCTCAGGCCACTCCTCTGCCTACTCGCCACTCGCTCTCAGCTCTACCTTCAGATGAGTCCGTAGAGTCGAGTGGCCCGTTTGCAGAGCTTGTTGGCTGCCTCATGTACCTGATGACCTGCACACGACCTGACCTCGCATACCCTCTTAGCATTCTCGCACGCTTTGTTGCTCCTGGGAGACACCGACCAGAGCACATGGCTGCAGCGAAGAGGGTGTTGCGCTACTTGTGCAGTACGTCGGGCATGGGGCTAGTGCTTGGAGGGCGCAGTCCAGTGGTCCTCACTGGGCACGCAGACGCTTTTTGGGCTGACGACCAGGCTACGCAGCGGTCGTCACAGGGTTACACCTTCAGCCTTGGTTCCGGCTCTGTCTCGTGGCGGGCTACCCGCTCGTCTTCTGTTCTCGGCTCCAGTTGTGAGGCTGAGATCTACGCTGGGGCTATGGCTGCACTGGAGTTACGCTGGCTCACCTACCTGCTGACCGACCTTGGAGAGCAGCCTCGTTCTCCTCCAGTCCTGTACGTAGACAACAAGACCATGCTGGCCTTGTGTCGAGAGCAGCGACTGGAGCACAGAACGAAGCACATTGCTCTTCGCTACTTTCTTGCTCGTGAGCTACAGCAGCGTGGACAGCTGCGACTTGCGTACGTGGCCTCTGAGGCCAACACTGCTGATGTCTTCACCAAGGCACTTGCGCCTTGTGATCATCAGCGTTGTTGCACGCAGTTGGGTCTTGTGCCTGTCTTGCCTCACTTGCTCTCCTCTTGACCTTGCTTGTACCTTCGCATATATATACTCTTGCTCTTGCTTGCTTGACTCTTGTATACCTCTATATATGATCTTGCATGTGAACTGGCCTTGTGGCCTTTGAACTTGTGCTCGGAATGCGTGGTGACTTTGTGATCCACCCTGAGCTTTGCTTTGCTTTGCTTGACTGGTCTTGTGACCCCTTGTTCTCCCCCACTTTGCCTATGGGGGTGTGTCAGAACACATAGCTTACTTGTTTGTGTAGGCTGTAGTGGGGTATCCCATAGGGGGTACAACACAATTAGGGTTTCCTATTTGTACTCCCTTCGTTCATACTCATTTCATTCTCGTTCAATTCTTCTCAAACCAAACACTAATTCAGCATGTGTTTTATGACTGATTCTGTCCATATTTGAAAAAAGGATGTTCAATGTTTTTGAGATATCATATAACGTAACAAGTTTTGATTTTGTAATCATGTCGTGATTAAACATTTGGACATATTTGTACTTAATGGCTGTATAGCATGTTACAAATAAAGTTAGTACGAAGGGGAACAGAGCGTGATACATTTTTATCTCCCTATTGGACTGAACGTAAGTATATGATGTACAAACAACCTACCTGCTAGAATTCTGAGACATATATGCATTATATATACAGTCTTCGGACCATTGGAGCTTGATTTGTTATCATGTACGCCGGTGCAAATACGCTAATTAGCACAGCACATTTTCTTCTTGGAGATTAGTGCTAAAACCTGGTTGGTATGTTCATGTCACCTCAATGTACCTATTGGTGGAAAGAAACAGACCTAAAAAAGCCGTTGTACTGATCAAACAGCACTAAGTACAGTCAGGCCGATCGTCGTTCCGTGACAGGCTGAAACACGCAAATTTGCACAGCACCTATTCTCCTTGGAGATAAGTGCTGAAACCTAGCTAATTTGTTCATATCACCTCAATGTACCTATTGGTGGAAAGAAACAGACCTAAAAAAGCTGTTGTACTAATCAAACAGCACTAAGTACAGTGAGGCCGATCGTCGTTCCGTGACGGGCCTAAACACGCAAATTCGCGCAGCACCTATTCTCCTTGGAGGTTAGTGCTGAAATCTGGCTAATATATTCATATCACCTCAGTGTACCTATTGGTGGAAAGAAACAGACCTAAAAAGGCTGTTGTACTGATCAAAGAGCACTAAGTACAGTGAGGCCAATCGTCGTTCCGTGACAGGCTGAAACACGCAAATTCGCGCAGCACCTATTCTCCTCGGAGATTAGTGCTGAAACCTGGCTAATATGTTCATATCAACTCAATGTACCTAATGGTGGAAAGAAACAGACCTAAAAAGGCTGTTTTACTGATCAAACAGCACTAGCTACAGTCAGGCTGATTGTCGTTCCGTGACAAGCTGAAACACGCAAATTCGCGTAGCACCTATTCTCCTTGGAAATCAGCACTGAAACCTGGCTAATCTGTTTGTATCACCTCAATGTACCTATTGGTGGAAAGAAACAGACCTAGAATAACTGTTGTACTTAACAAACAACACTAAGTACAATCATGCGATTGTCGTTTCATGACAGGCTGAAATATTTACATGGGGTTTTCGGATCGTCTCATCTTCTGCAGTCCACCAACACAGCAGTGTGAACACCGCTTCAAAATTAAAGGCGTTTGAAGCGGTGTAGCTTGAATAGTTGACATACCGTATGTTAATACGAATGCGATATTGGTGAGGTTCTAGGCTAGCCTTGGAACAATGCAATAAATTCTTACCGACATCTTTTAGATCGACGATGCGAGAACAGTTTTTAGTTACTCAGGTGGTAGAAACGTATCGGAGCAGGTTGACCTTACACATAAATACATTCAAGCGACTGAAGTTATGATATTTCTATTCATAGATAATTATAAAAGAAACTAGTAATTACAGCAAATAACCCTACACAGAAATCCAAGCAGTCTTATTTTTTCATTGTACATATTGAATCAGAGGATGGAATTCTGCAAAAGAATCTAACCAGCAACATAAGACCTAAACATTGTACATTATACAGAAACGAGGTCCTTAGCGGGGTTTCCTGCAGGTAGAATCCTAGGCGAAAATGTTGATCAGGCGAAACAATCGAATTCAAACGAAGCGGACTCATTTCGGTAGCAGCAGCTTTTTTATAGGTATGAATCGAAATCCAGGACAGATCGTCCATGCAAGCTTCACGCCAACTTACACTGTCGTTCTCCCTCTGATTCCCGAAGTGCCCACGCTGAAATCAACTGAAAGGTACCTCTGGTGTAAGTTTGTGTCGAGCTATTTTCAAGTACCTGAAACAAAACCTACTCCTCCAACCCCCCTGTTTTTCCGATGCCCCCTCCCCTTCCCCCCCCAACCCATCGTCACCCGCCGACCCCCCTCCAACCCCTTCCTCAATCTCCTCCTCCCTGCCCCCCTCTCTCCTCCCCTGCCGTGCACACAGCACAGCATGTTAGCAGCTTCAAGGAACGGCTGCAACATGGCCCCCGCTCTCGTACACACAACTATCAGCATGTTAGCTTCCCCACGTAGCGTGAAGGCGCCGAGTGTGTCGTCGTTTCCGCGCAGGTCCATTACTCCGTTGTTTCTTCCCACTGCCCCATTCGCATCTTGCCACTCTACCCACCCTCACCGTACCCACCCTCACTGCACCCTCCCTCACTGTGGGCACGGGGCCCATAGCAGGTGGAGGTGGAGCTGTATGAGCTGGGCGAGGCGTACCGCGACGAGTACCTGGCGGCGCTGGGCGTGCTGCAGGGCGGGCTAGCAGGGCTTGTGCAGGCCACCTACCGCCGGCTGGGACTGCGCACCTACTTCACTGCGAGGGAGAAGGTGAGGGGGAGGGGGGGTGAAAGAGGGGGAGAGATGAGGGAGGAGGGTTGCACTGCAAGGGGCAATGGACACGGAGTTGCGAGGGGTGGTAGGTAGGAGGCCATGGTGGTAGGTAGGAGGCCATGGTGGTGTACAGTATCAAGGCTTTCCTTGCCCCACGCCTGCCATGCCCCACGCCTGCCATGCCCCACGCCTGCCATGCGCCATGCCTACCATGCCCCATACCGAATGTCTCGCACACCCCCTGCATGTGTGCGTGCATGCGTGCAGGAGACGAGGGCGTGGACAATCCGCGCGGGCATGATGGCACTGCACGCGGCGGGTGTGATCCACACCGACTTCGAGCGCGGCTTCATCCGCACTGAGACCGTACCGCCCCCACCCCTCCCTCCCTCCCTCCCTCTCTGCCTCCCCGCCTTGCTCCATCGCCCCTCGCTGCCTTGCTTCTCCTTGTACCTCGGCGCCTTGTTTCTCCTTGTACCTCACCGCCTTGCTTCTCCTTGTACCTCGCCGCCTTGCTTCTCCTTGTACCTCGCCGCCTTGCTTCTCGTTGTACCTCGCTCTATCTCCCCATCCCACATGGTCTTGCACCCACCACTAGTGATTCCTAGCAGCATGTGCTATGCCCACATTCCCTTGCGTGTGGCTGCATCGCATCTCACTATTTTCCTCGCCCACCACAGCATTGGCCACTTGTGCAAGCATTGGTATCGTGAGGAAGCTAACCTTGTTCCGCGTGCATGTGGGTATGTATGTGGGCATGCATGTAAGCATGTATGTGGGCATGCATGTGGGCGTGCATGTGGGCATGCATGTAGGCATACATGTGGGCATTCATGTGGGCGTGCATGTGGGCATGCATGTGGGCGTGCATGTAGGCATGCATGTGGGCGTGCATGTGGACGTGCAGGTGGGCGTGCATGTGGATATCATATGATGACTTTGTGGCGAGTGGGTCGTACACGGCTGCCAAGGAGAAAGGCCTCGTGAGTCAACTCAACTGAATCTACTTCGTCTCGACTTGCACGCACATGCATCTCTCTTGCCATTCATGCTTCTAACTTGCCATGCATGTTTCCCTGCTACCATGTGTGCTTTTCTATTTCCATGCATTCTTTTCTTCTCCCACTATTGCTCAATGCATTTTTATCTGCTTATGTGCAGCTGCAGGCTGAGGGCAAAGAGTATGTCGTGCAAGAGGGGGACGTCATGCTGTTTAGGTTTAACGTATAGTAAGTACACAAATGTGCCCCTTGTGTTAAGTGAAGTCTTCCACAATTTTGATTTTTATTTGTTAAGATTTGTACCACTTGAGGGCCTAATGTGCACAAATTTAAACATGTATGCATTCAAAATACGCGTTATAAAGTAATAACCATGTGATACGGCAGGCCTCATGGCTTACACTAGGCTAAGACCTGTTACGATATGGAATTGTTGAATAACATTCCTAAAGTAGTGAATCTTTGACGCGAAGATGACTGCAGCAAGGATGAAGACCGAACGACAAAAATAGTTATCGAAGACGATTGAAAGCAGAATGAATTCGAAGTGCCAGCAAAAAAAACGCATTCAATTCAAACAGTACACGTGGCGCGTATTGTTACTGAACCGCACGGTTGGCATTTCCGATCTAGATCAGCCCTAAGGGGAATGTACTGTTAATTATATTGCATATCTTGTTGTAGGCTATAGTGGGGTAGCCCTTATAGGATACAACCCTTGTTAGGGTTAGTACTTGTGCTCATCTCATGCTTCTAGTCAACCCAGGGTCCTCGCTATCAGACATCTTTGTCTATTTTTTCCAGATAATATGATTTTATAGAACTTGGTAATTATTTCAATTGGTTGATCACAAATGATTTTTCCTTTCCATCTGGTTCATCAGACATGCATTTATGTTTTTTTCTGAAATCAAAACAGCTAGATGACGGGGATTTCCAGCACAAGGAGAACCCGATCTGTTGTGGAAGGGCAAAATTGCTGCGTCAAGGGGGAGGTCTTCTATGACGCGGTGAATGTGTTGTGTTAGCGAGCGATTTTTTTGTGTCAGTGGGCGAATCTGTTGTGTCACGGGGGCAAAACTTTTGTGTCCGGAGCAAATCTATTGTGTCAGGGGGCGAATATGTTGTGTAGGGGGGCCGAAATTGTTGTGGAGTGGCAAATCTGCTTGTGTCACGGCAAGTGCAAATTTGCCGAATCTGCTGTGACAGGGTGAATCTGCCACGATTGGTCCAGTCCGAATCACTTGCGTCCAGAAACCTGAAACTAGATTTTACAGTGCCCTTGATTGGTCAGACCTGCATTTCTAAAATATCTGATACATCAGACATGGGAAAAAATATCTGATGGATCCGGCACCCGCGGGCATGCCCTGCCCTGCCCATCAATATCGTACACTGCCCTGCCCCATGCCCGCGTGCGCCCCACTACCCAACACCCGCACGCGTCCCATTGCCCAACGCCCATGCGCGCCCTGCTGCCCCGTACCCACGCGTGCCTTGTTGCCTAGCGCCCGCACGCAGGTCGCGAGCTGCCCGCGCTGATAGCACACTGCCCCGTGCACACCTGCCCTGCCCCACGCGTCAGCCCTGCGTTGCCCGTGAGCACCTGCCCTGCGCTCCGCCGGCGACCTGCGCGCTGCCCCGTGCGTTGCCTGTGCCGCGTGCACGCGAGCTGCCCGCGCACTGCCCCTGCTATTTGCACACCACCCGCTAGCTGCCTGCGCTGATTGTGCACTACCTCGCGCGAACCTGCCCTGCCTCACGCGCCAGCCCTGCGCCGCCCGCAAGCGCCTTCCCTACGCTCCGCCGGCGACCCGCGCGCTGCCCCATGCGCTGCATGCGCCGCCTACATGCGAGCTGCCTGCGCACTGCCCCGCGCGCACCTACCCTGCCCCACGTGTCAGCTCTGCGACGCCCGCGAGCGCCTGCCCTGCACTCCGCTGGCGACCCGCGAGCTGCCCGCGCACTGCCCCTGCTGCCCTGCACCGCTCGCCGCCAGCGCTGCTTGTGCTGCCTGCTGCCCGTGCTACTACGAGCTTCCCGTTGCTGCATCCTGCGCTGCCCGTACCCTGCCTGCGCAACCCGCATTGCCTTTGCACTGCATTGTGCCACCCTGCTCGCACGCGCTTACTCTGCCCACAAGCGGTTGCCGCCCTGAGTGCCGTGCTGCCTGCTGCTGCGAGCTGCTTGCTGCCTAGCGAGCTGCTCTACACGCTGCACTGCGCCCATTGCCCTGCCCTACCCTGACATAGGGACCGGTGAGGGCTTGAGGCGAGGTTTTGGGCTCAACTGCCTTTGGTGGGTGGGAGACAGCAGTGTGAAGGCTGAGGATGTGAAGTCCTGAGAGGCCGGGGCTATGCAGCTATTCGCTGGTGATCTCGACCAAGTCATCGTCAGAGTTGTGACTGCTGAAAGGGGTGGGGCTGAGAAGGGAGTCGCGCGAGGAGTTGAGAGGTGTGATGTCCTCGTCTTTGTCCTCGTTGCTCCATGGGCAAGGTCCGGGGTGGGGGTCCGTGGGATCTTGATCCGCGAGCGCTGCTTCGGCTTCGTCTTCGGGGGTGGCATAGGTGCGCGGAGGGCGGTCATGGTTCGCGATGTTATGTTCTCCCCTGATGCGGTCAGTGTGGAGGTCGCAGTGGAACTTGCGGATGGTGAGATGTTTGTAGAAGATGACGTTGCGAGCCACGACGATTCGCGAGGTGTCATGGTCCAGGCATGGTGTTCGAAGCTGATGCCGAGGTGCACGCCCCAGCGGGCGCGGCGTTCAAATTTCCCGGTAGTTGCGGTTGCGGGCCAATACTGCACCATGCAGCCCCAGACGTGGAGCATGGAAATATCGCCCTTGTTGCCGGTGAACTTAAGATGCGGGGAGACGTTATTGGTGTTAGTGGTGGTGCTGAGCAGATTGTTGAGACGGGCAGCGTGATGCATGGCATAGGGCCAATACTTCACATCAATGTTGCTCTCGTGCAGGAGGGCGCACACTTTTGTCATGAGAGTGTGGTTGGTGCGTTCCGTGACGCCTTCCTGGGGAGTGCGTAAGGGAGGGAGAGTTTGCGGATGATTCCTTTCTTCTATATGTATGCCGCCATCTTGTCGCTTTTGAGTTTGCGGATGATTCCTTTCTTCCATCTTGCCAACTCGGCTGTGGAGTCAGTTTGTCATAGTTTGAGGGTGCAGCTGGACTGGCTTTAAGCGTTGGTGTGCCAAACTTTGAAGATCTCATACAGCTTTCTCCTGTGTGAAACGTTGGCCACCTACACAAAGCGAGAGTAGGCGTGGATGAAGGTGATGTGAAGAAAAGAGGAATGAATTAACTAGGCAAAATGTGGGTGCAATTAGGAACCTAGAAATGTTGTACCCTATAGTATCTACCCCACTATAGCCTATATACACTATAGCATATAAACTTCACCCACCCCCATAGGCAAAGTGGGAGAGAACAAGAGGTCACAAAACCAGTCAAGCAAAGCAAAGCAAGCTCAGAGTGGATCACAACGTAACCACACAGTCTGAGCACACAATCAAGGCTACAAGGCCAGTTCACATGCAAGATCATATACAAAGGTAAACAAGCAAGTGCAGGTATAGAAAGATCACAATACAAGCAAGGTCAAGAACTGAGCAAGTGAGGCCAAGTAGGCACAAGACCTAGCATCATACAGAAGCGCTGATGATCACAAGGCGGAAGTGCCTTGGTAAAGATATCAGCAGTGTTGGCCTCAGAGGCCATGTAAGCAAGGCGTAGCTGACCACACTGCTGCAGCTCACGAGCAAGGAAGTAGCGAAGAGCAATGTGCTTCGTTCTGTGCTCCAATCTGTGCTCCCGACACAAGGCCAGCATGGCCTTGTTGTCTACGTACAAAACTGGAGGAGAACGAGGCGGCTCTCCTAGGTCGATCAGCAGGTAGGTGAGCCAGCATAGCTCTTGTGCAGCCATGGCCCTAGCGTAGATCTCAGCCTCACAGCTGGAGCCAAGAACAGAAGACGAGCGGGTAGACCGCCACGAAACAGAGCCGGAACCAAGGCTGAAGGTGTAACCCTGTGACGACCGCTGCATAGCCTGGTCGTCAGCCCAAGAAACGTCTGCGTGAGCTGTGAGGACCACTCAACGTCGCCCTCCAAGCACTAGCCCCATGCCCAACGTACTCCACAAGTAGCTCAACATCCTCTTTGCTGCAGCCATGTGCTCTGGTCGGTGTCTCCCGCGAGGAACATAGCATGCCAAGATGCTAAGAGGGTGTGCAAGGTCAGGTCGTATGCAGGTCATCAGGTACATGAGGCAGCCAACAAGCTGTGGGTACAAGCCACTCGGCTCTACGGACTCATCCGAGGGCAGAGCTGAGAGCAAGTGGCGAGTAGACAGAAGAGTAGCCTGAGGCGAGGAGTACGAGAAGTCAAAGCGCTGAAGGACCTGCAGCACCATGTGTGACAGAGTCAAAGTAATGGTGCGATGTGCTCTGTCCTGGGTGATCTGCAAGCCAAGGTAGCTGCGCAGTTCACCCAGGTCAGTGCACGTGTGTCTCTTCTGCAGCTCAGACTTTACGTGGGCGAGTCCAGTAGTGTCAGCAGTGGCAAAGACCAAGTCGTCGACGTACACAAGGATGTAGAACGGCGGCAAAGGGGTGTCGGTGCGCAGAAAGAGCGTCAAGTCGGCTGTAGAAGGAGCAAACCCAAGAGCCGCAAGTGTAGTCCTCAGTGTGTCCTGCCGCTTACGGGGTGCCTGGCGGAGACGGTAGACTAGCCGCAAGAGGCTCCATTGGGTACCAGGAGGAAACAACCCAGTGAAACCAGGTGGGCGGCGCAGCGAGATCTCCTCATGCAAGCTGTCCTGTAGGAAAGCTGTGCTGAAGTCACGAGAGTGAAGCTCGTAGTCGCGCTGAGCGGCTATGTGCAGCAGCACCCGAAGAGTGGTCATCTTTGGGGTGGGAGAGAAGGTCTGAAAGTAGTCAACTTCCTGCTACTGACTAAAGCCTCGAGCCACGTAACGCGCCTTGAAG